GTCTCTCAACTTTCTCTTCACAATATCCCACAGGTTCTCTATGGGGTTCAGGTCAGGAGAGTTGGCAGGCCAATTGAGCACAGTAATACCATGGTCAGTAAACCATTTACCAGTGGTTTTGGCACTGTGAGCAGGTGCCAGGTCGTGCTGAAAAATGAAATCTTCATCTCCATAAAGCTTTTCAGCCGATGGAAGCATGAAGTGCTCCAAAATCTCCTGATAGCTAGCTGCATTGACCCTGCCCTTGATAAAACACAGTGGGCCAACACCAGCAGATGACATGACACCCCAGTGACTGTGGAAACTTGACACTGGACCTCAAGCATTGTGAATTCTGTGTCTCCTCTCTTCCTCCAGACTCGGGGACCTTGATTTCCAAAGGAAATGCAAAATTTACTGTAATCAGCGATCATAACTTTGGACCACTCAGCAGCAGTCCCAGGCGAGATGCTTCTGACGCAGTCTCTTGTTCAAAAGTGGCTTGACCTGGGGAATGCGGCACCTGTAGCCCATTTCCTGCACACGCCTGTGCACGGTGGCTCTGGATGTTTCTACTCCAGACTCAGTCCTCTGCTTCCGCAGGTCCCCCAAGGTCTGGAATCGGCCCTTCTCCACAATCCTCCTCAGGGTCCGGTCACCTCTTCTCGTTGTGCAGCGTTTTCGGCCACACTTTTCCCTTCCCACAGACTTCCCACTGAGGTGCCTTGATACAACACTCTGGGAACAGCCTATTGGTTCAGCAGTTTCTTTCTGTGTCTTACCCTCTTGCTTGAGGGTGTCAATGATGGCCTTCTGGACAGCAGTCAGGTCGGCAGTCTTATCCATGATTGCGGTTTTGAGTAATGAACAAGGCTGGGAGTTTTTAAAAGCCTCAGGAATCTTTTGCAGGTGTTTAGAGTTAGGTCGTTGATTCAGATGGTTAGGTTAATAGCTTGTTTAGAGAAACTTTTCATGATATGCTAATTTTTTGAGACAGGCATTTGGGGTTTTCATGAGCTGTATGCCATAATCATCAGTATTAAAACAATTAAAGACCTGAAATATTTCAGTTGGTGTGCAATGGATCTGAAATATATGAAAGTTTCATTTTTATCATTACATTATGGAAAAAAATGACCTTTATCACAATATGCTAATTTTTTTAGAAGGACTTGTATTTTAAAAGATACTGAGCTCAAGTTTGTTGTGGTGGTAACTGACAGCGATGCACAACACATTCAGAATTCAAATCTAAAAATCCAAGATGGTTGCCAAAGCTAATTTCAACTGGATATAGCTCAGAGGTTTTTAGAGCAATTCAGCTGAAATTTGGTGTATTGGTAACTGACAACAATCCCTAAGAGAGACTGATTGCAAATCAAAAATCCAAAATGGCTGCCTGAGTTAAAAAGGAAAAAATACTATCAATCAGTCATTTGTAGAGATATTGAGCTAAAGTTTGGTGTGGCTGAGAGCAATGCCCAACACACAGTGCAGTCACATCTAAATTTTAAAATGGCTACAACGTGGTAGTCCCTGAGTTTCTCCAGGAACTTTCTATTTTATATTATAGTTATTTTTCTATTTGCTAATTTGGATTAGTTGTGGCAGTGATTACTTTCTAAGAGCTTCCCTAAAATTTGTCCAGAGGTTAATGAGATATTTTGGTAACAAACACAGACAACAACAAACTTGCCTTCTGTTTTTGGTGTTGAGTGATAAATAGAAAGCAAATATGTAAGTAAAATGCTCATTATTTAGATTTTGAGTAGGTTTCTGAGGGTTAGTTCCTCACTAACAGAAACTGTGTTTGCTTTTGTTTGTTTAAATGTCTCTCATGGTCAAACCAGCCTCCACTAAAAACAACCTGGAAACCAGCGAGGTGGCCAAATCGGAGCATTTCAACATTGCGTCATCGCTGTTGGAGGTCTGTGTTCAGGAACATTCACACAGTGTGCATTTCCCGGTGAGACCTTTTATAGTTTTTAAACTGTGCATGTCTGATTTGCAGGTTCAGAAATCTTCTATTGCGACAAGTTTGACACATCGCTCCTTCATGACCACCAGAGAACGAGTGACCAAACCCTTGAGCTCCGACCAGGCCACTGACTGCAGAGACGCTGTCGTCAAGGTAACGAGTATCACCTACGGTACTTCCTTGTTGGCTCCTAACCCGGGTCATTGTCCAAATGGAGGAAATATTGCATCTTATAAGGAAGTGTCCCATTTAGTTGGACAATCAGGTTGTTTTTTGTCGCTTTTTCTTTGAGAGGACAACTTCCTGGACAGGACCAGCAGTATTTGTACAATTACTCAGTAATATATATTATACTAGAAAGTTCGTGGAGAAACTTTGACAGGGACTGCTACGTTGCTGCCATTTAAACTTTTTGATTTGGCAGTACTGTGTTTGGCATTGCTCTCAGCTACAACCACACCAAATTTCAGCTCAATATCTCAAAGAATGACTGAGTTAGAGTCAATTTTGAGTTTTCTGAGGTAGCTGTGCCAGCCATCTTGAACCAAAACGGCTCCAAAGGTTAATCAGTGTTTTGTTCTGAGACCTCTTCTCTCTAGATCATGTGACCTTACTGTGACAGTTAGAGGCTGTTTAGTGATCTGTTAGGCTTTTTGAATGAGAAAAATGGCATCTTTGCTTACAAATTATGTCTCCATTGTAACTGAAAATGCCAATAAAAGTAATGGCACACATCACGGTGTTGAGCTGGTCGTTTTGATGTAAAATGTTTGGGGGTACACGTTGCAGTTTAGGCCACACTAAAGTTAATACATCTGTCTTCACCCTAGCTTAGGTCAAGGTCACAAATCAAGATCAAATGTTATCCAGTTTGTCTGGGCTGTGGCTATATCTTGCTGTTCAAAGTGTGTCAACAGCGTATAATGTGTTGTGTGCAGTGCTCTAGTCTTTATTTTGCTTTATTCGTTGCTCTTTTTTTGAGGGTTGAGCTTTTAAAACTAAACTTGTTCTCGATCAGGCGATCTACAACAAGCTGTTCGTATGGATCGTTGGGAACATCAACAGCACCATCTACAAGAAGCTGAGCAGCAAACCCAGATCCTCCTACCTGTCCATCGGCCTGCTGGATATATTCGGCTTTGAAAACTTCCGAACAAACAGGTCCGGAGGGTTCATCCAGTGTTCGTGCATCACAGCCACACAATTGCAGGAATTCTGATTCCAACACCTGCCTTTATGTTTTCAATGCCATTATTTCTACAGCTTTGAGCAGCTTTGCATTAATTTTGCTAATGAGAAGCTGCAGCAGTTCTTCGTGGCCCACATCTTCAAGCTTGAGCAAGAAGAGTATCTGAAAGAGGGCGTGGTGTGGGACAACATCAGATTCAGTGACAATCAGAACATCCTCAACCTTCTGGCTATGAAACCCTGCAATCTGCTGGCTCTGATTGATGAAGAGACCCAGTTTCCAAAGGTGAGGTTCTGCTGCAGGTTCTGTTGAGAGTTACTGAGCCTTCCACTCATCTTATTCTGTTTCTGATCAACGTTTTTTTTTTTTTTTGCGTCTAAGGGCTCAGATGCCACTCTGCTGAACAAAATGAACAAAGAACACAGAGGAAACAAAATCTATGTCAACTCTAAAAGTGAACACGATACACGTTTTGGAGTCCACCACTTTGCAGGCTTGGTTTTCTACGACACCAACAGTACGTGACTAATACAAATCTGATCTGATGCTGTTCAGGAATGGATTCATGCTTTTGTTTTCTTTTAAAGGGTTCCTGGAAAAGAACCGGGATGCTGTCAGTTCTGACATCATCAAGATGGTTGACATGTCCACCAACAAGCTCCTGCGTCAGATCTTTGAGAGCGAGCTGTCCACCAATGGAGTGAAAAACACCAAAAACAGCCGAGTCATCATGATGCCCAAAAGCACCCTGCGGGTATGAATCAACACCTTCCCCTCTGACCAAACTGAACTCTGGAACAGAGACGCAACAAACCAGACAAAGTGTTCTGTTCCTGCTAAGACCATTATTGTCTCTGTCACGGTCCATCCATGCATGTTGGGAGCATGATCACTTGAGAAATACAGGTCTCTCGTAAATGAGTCCTTGAGGCTCAGTGAGACAGACCTGCAGAAATAAAGGTTGAAACAATGAGTGAGGTGCCGACTTTCATTGTTGGGTGTTGCTGCATCTAGGTGTAAAGTCCCCATCATAAATTAGTTTACCAAGTCAAAATCCAAGATGGCCGCGGCCATATATATGTAAACTGACCACTCCGATCATTTGAGAAGACCATCCATCCATCCGTCCATCCATCCTGCCATCCATCCATCCATCCATCCATCCATCCATCCATCCATCCATCCATCCATCCATCCATCCATCCATCCATCCATCCATCCATCCATCCATCCATCCATCCATCATCTTTACCTGCTTCTTCTTTTTCGGGTCACAGGGTCACTGGTGCCCATGTCCAGCAGTCACTGTGCAAGAGGTGGGGGACACCCTGGGCAGGTCTCCAGTCCATCACAGGGACACATAAAGACAAACAAGACAAACAACAATTCACTCTCTCTCTCTCACCTAGGGACAATTTAGAGTTACCAGTCAGCCTAACATGCATGTTTTTGGTCTGTGGGAGGAAACTGGAGTACCTGGAGAAAACCCATGCAGCACAGAGAAAACATGCAAACTCCACCCAAAAAGACACCCCTGCTGAAATTTGAATTGGCGACCTTCTTGCTGAGAGGCAGCAGTTCTACCAGGCTTAGTCACTGTGCTGCCAACTGTGTTTTCTCATTTTGTATTGCTTTCAGGTATGGTAGTTTGCTCAAATGACTGGGGTGGTCAAAGATTAATTTATGATGGCCAAGGTCACCATTGCCCCCGCAACCCCCCAAAGGCTCATCCACTGCTCCTGGTGGTGGATAAAGTTGCTACTGTTATGATCTGGTGTTGGATGTTGAACCCAAGTGCAGGCTGAGGCATGAGAACTCAGGAGTAAAAATGAACGATTTATTGAATGAAAACAAACATGCTGATGGGGCAGCAAAAATGTTGGTTACGTACTGTAACCACAGATTCTGTGAGTATAGGCGTAGCCCTTTAAGACTTTCGCTAGTGGGTTTATCCCTATGCGCGCTCAGCGCTGCACTGAAAAAACTTTAGTCCACGCCCACCTGCTGTGTGTGAGCCTCACCCCCGGTCCTTATAAATTACGGTGAGACCGGGTAATCTGCTCCCAAAATAGCTTTTTTCTTCAGCCATTTAGAAAACAGTGAGGCCTAGAGCTTAAAGGGCTATGCCTATACTCATAGAATCTGGGGTGACAGTACATAACCAACGTTCTATTTCATATAGGCTTTAAGATTTTCGCTAGTGGGTTAAAGGCGAGGCAGGATGTAGTCTATGCCTCACTGGGTCCATTCAGACACAACGTGAAGCACCTGCTTGCACAAAAAAACATTTCATCACTCAGCCTTTTGTGTGCGTAGTTACGCGCTGCGTAATTGCGTGCTCCATATGCAGGAGCGCACCAGAGAAGATCTCTGGTGAGGAAAAAAGGCTGAGATGCAGACCTGCTGCTGTAAATAGGAACAACGGAGGATACGAATTGTAACAGTGTAATGATGAACAGAGCAGACCGTCAGCTCCTCAGGATAAACCAGTTAATAACAATCAGCAGTCGTGAACTTGTGACTGATAATAAATATCTCACACTGCAACAGCATGCAGGCAGGTGTGAGCTCAAAAGTGAGGATCCATGAAACAAATAATAATCATTCTGACAGAACCCTGAGAGCAGAATGGGTCATGGAGAAAGTAGAAACATCACATAGATAAAAACGAATAATTGAACATGGCGATGACCAGGCAGCCGCCATACAAATATCCTCCACTGTCATCCCTCCATGCAGAGCCATGGAGGATGAAAACCCTCTTGTGGAGGATCCAGTCCAGATGAACTGTAAACTTCAGAAATAGCCTCACACAACCAGTGTGAGAAGCACTGGATGGATAGAGGACGTCCTGAAGAGCTGTCCCAGTAATGCACAAACATATGCTGAAAGCAGCGCAGTGCGGCCGTGTGCACCACGTAACATGAAAAATGGACGCATGGGACAGAAGGAGGTGAGATGTTGCTTCCTCTTCAGAGTTATGAGAAAGAGGATAAAACCCATCCAAGGTTATCACTCTCGATCTGAATGAGCTTGTGATGCTTTTCAGAGCAGGGTTAAAACGCAGTACAGCTGAACAGCCGTCAGCTTGAATTCTGAGACATGAGGGAGTAACAGAGAGAGCAAACAAACACTCACTCTCTTTTGCCGACGTCAGAAACTAACAGCAGGGCTGTTTTAAATGACAGAAATTTAAGTAAAACCTGATCCAGAAACTCAGAATGAGCTTTGATCAGAGCGTGCAGGACCATCGTTAGGTCTCACTGTGAAGCTAGTGGACGTGACACCGGTCTATGTCTCAGTACACCTTTCAGGAAACGCTTCATCATCGGGTGATTAAGAACTGTTTTGTCACCGAAGCCCTCGTGACAGGAAGAAATAGCTGCAGCATAAGTTTTAATTGTGCTGAACGCCAGATCTCTGTCCATCAGCTGCTACAGAAAGGCCAGCATGCCACCTAGTGGCCATGTAATGGCCTCCACGCCTTTCTCTGTGCACCAGCGCTGAAAAACTGTCCACTTGATGTGTGCAGCGTTGTGGTGGAAGCAGCTCATGCACCCTGAACTTACGCCCCACATCCTGTGGGAGGCCCATCTTTTCTAAACGGATCTGTTCAGCAGACAGACCCAAAGATGCTGACCTATTTTTGGTAACTCCTGATCGCTCTTCCTGCCTGGAGGAGAGCACCCCCCCCCCCACACACACACACACACACACAACAGTTTCCACAACCGACCTGATATCAGTCACTGCAGATTCAGGAACCATAGAGCGCAAAAGCGTTCAGGAGCTACGAGGATGACGGACGGTTCTTCCTCCTGGACTCAGTCCAGGGTCCGTGATATCGGTAGGACTGGAGAAAACGCATAAAGGAGCATTTTTGGCCATGGGCTGTGAGCGAAGGTGTCTAATCCTAACGGTGGGTCGTCTCATGGGCTCAGTGAGAACCATAATTGACACTGGGCGTCTTCCCGTGTGGCGGACAGATCCACTGGTGCTCGGCCCAACCTGCTCCAAAAATCCGAGAAATCAGCTCGGGATGGAGGCTCCAGTCTCTGTGGCGGGGACCGCCCCTCAACATGATACCGGCTCGCCTGTTCAGGAACACTGGAAAAATCCACAGCTCTGATGGGGCGCAGGTTTCTGTGTGGCCAACACAACAGCTGTTTCGCGATGCGTAACAGTTGGGCTGAGCACACACCTCCCTGATGGTTTATGTAAACCGCCGTCACTTGTTCTCTGTGTGGATCAGAAAATGCTGATCCCACAGCAGGGGCAAAATGCTGAGTCACATTTCAGACCATGAAAAAACATTCTAGCACATTATGTAAAGCAACATGTAGTCCAGCCACTGTACTCCCACTGCTTGGGACAGAAACATTCCTTCCAGTTTGACAGAAACGCGTCTGTGAAAAAACTGAGACATGTGATGTAGGCCTGCTGATGAGAACTCCCTCTGACAGAATGAGGGGGTTTCCCCAGTGATTCAGATCGGTTCTCACGGAGGGGGTCACAAAGATAATCCACTTCTTCTGGCACGCAGGATCTATGCGCAGGCAGGCAAACCATCTCTGAAGGCATCTAATATTACGTAGGCCCAGCGGAACCACGATGTGGGCCGCTGACATCGTCCCAGGAGTCGCATGACAGGCAGAACTGTCACTATGCTACAGGGTTTGACACGGCGGAGCTGGGTTTGACATGGAGGAGCTGAGCTGATAGAGCTTCGGCTCTCATTGTAGTTGAGTTTAGCTCCATTTCCAGATAACAATCATCTGGGTTGAACGAATGGAAGTTTTTCCCAGTTTATAGAAAACCCAGGTTTAGCAGGTGTAACACTAGCATTTTGGTCTGTGCGACAGCTTTCTAACTGGACTGAGCTAATAAGAGCAGATCGTCCAGATAAAAAGATTTCTCATTCCTGCCATGTGTAACGACTGCAGAGCCGTCTCCACACATTTTGAGAACGTCCGTGGGGTGTTTCAGAATGATGGAAATGTGAAAATATGTGCTCTTCAGATCTATGGAGGTGAAAACCAGTCGTTCTGGTGAAGTTCTCCAGCAGCTGTTTGTCAGCATGTAGAATTGTCTCCCCATGATCGAATTGCTGAACATGAACAGTTCGAGAATGGTCTCATCCCTCCGGTTTTCCTCAGAACTAGGAAGTAGTGGGAGGGAAAAAACACATTTTCCTCTCTGTTGGGAACTCAGGAAATCACGTTTTTCGTCAGAAATTCCTGAACTTCTGACTGGAGAGACAAGCTCTGTTCTGGAGAAGACAGAACCATCTCTATAATCCCTCTGAAACGGTGGGTGTTGAGCTGTGAACTGCAGCGTGTAACCCCTTCTGATCAGATGGTCCGTCCATCTGTCCAGGGAACACACTCGCTGCCACTCTGAGTAGCGCTCGGAGAGCGGGCATGCATTTGTGTTGTGTCATGTTTCTCATGAACGTCAACCAGACTAAAAATCCTTACTGCCATCACTCGCTCCAGAGAGGCTCTGGGGAACCCAATGGGGGCTCTGACAGAAAAAAAGGGCTGAATGTGTGCCTCTGTGCTGGGCCTAGGCTGCGGTCTCACATAGAGCTGAGGTGAGCCGGCGCGCATCGAGAGGAGGCGTGAGCGCTTTCTGTGTGAGACACCGTTTTGGTGTAGGCTACAGCTGTCATGGAGAAAACACATTTACTCCCGCTACGCTGTGAGTGGGCAGAAAAACAACAGAAATTAAAAACGGGCTCTGGCTTGTGATATTTACTGAACTGCGGTGTCATTTAAAATGCTGTTTAGAGGTTACTGACTCGTTCTGTGTGGGGAATGTGTGAAGAGAGGCAGCTGAGAGATCAGCTGATCTGACGGTCTCAAATGAAAAACTTTACTTTCAGAGGTGTTTCTGTTTTATATCAAAAACATACATCATTCAAAAAACACATACCTTCCCCTCAAGGATCTGTTACCTGGTGGAGGGGGCTGGTGGAGGAGCAGGGAGTGAAGTCGCTGCCGCAACTGTGGAGCGCCTCTGGTGCTGTTGCTGGCCAAGGTGGTCCCTCCAGTGGCAGGAGGGGCAGATGGACTGTGATGTCACCAGATGGTGTACAGTCTCTGAGACCTCCTCGGACCTCTGTGATTTCTCAAGGATGTTCCTGAAGTTGGCCCCGAACAGCACCTCTGGGGTGATGGGGCCTTCCAGCAGGTCTTTCTGCAGCCTCTTTGACAAGGATGGTGAGAGGCAGAGCCAAGTGGTCCTCTGGATCATGGTCATTCAGGCAGCGATGCGGGACAGGCAGATCGCAGAGGTGGCACATGTTTAAGATGACATCAGCAGCTTTATAGAGAGAGCTCTTGTCTCCTCCAGCAGGTCCGCTTCCTCCAGCCTCTTAGAGATGCTGTAGGCCAGCAGGGCAATGTTGTTGTTCGCTGCGGCCGTCTGGAATGAGCACTGGTGAGCTCGGTTGGAGACCTTGTCACCATCTGGTCATGCTTCCCTGGAGGGACAGGTTGCTGGTCCATCCTGGAAGATTTTGCCCCAAGTGTCACCACCAGGCTTGGCTCCAGAGTCGTTGGGAAGGGGGGGACCGAGGGCAAAAACACAGATCGGTAAAACCCTCCACTCTGGAGATGGAGGCGAAGGTGGAGACGGATGTCTTCAGCTTGCCTGCCCAGCTGCAGCCTCGTTCCAGTGTGACTGCACAGCGAGGCCAGATGGGGTCAGGGCAACGAGTCGGGGCGGAGCCAACCTTGCCGCCAGATCATCCGATCAGGGCGGAGGGAGGAGAGGGACAGAAAATCCCTTGTGTTAACATCCTCCTGGATTATGCCGGGCAGCTCAGAGAGGAGGGCGCCGACGGCTAAGAGCAGTGTGGTCACCGATGTGGGAAGATCCGAGGTGACTGTGCATCCGCTCGGCCACTCGTCTTCCGTCACTACGTTCTCCAGGAGGGAAGGGGCAGCTCTGCATCGCCTTTCTCGGAGGAGTCATTCGATTCACTGCATGTTTATGTGTCAAAGAAGGTGGTGGCGTCGTCCCGCGCATAGCGTCCCGCCACCGAAAAAAACATTCAGCGGAGCTGCTGCCAACAACGCCTTTTTGAGGGAATCATCCGATTTACCTTGAGAAAAAAAAAAACACGTTAGAAAAGGCGGTGGCGTCATCCAGCGAGTAGCGGCCCTCCAGGGAAAACATTCAGCGGGGCTGCTGCTAACATCGCCTTCTTGAGGAAATCATTTGATTACCGCGAGGACAAAACATGTTAGAAAAGGCTGTGGCGTCGTCCAGCGGGTAGCGGACCGCCATGGAAAAAACATTCAGTGGGGCTTCTACTAACATCGCCTTTTTCGAGGAAATCATTTGATTACCGCAAGGAAAAAATACGTTAGAAAAGACGATGGCGTCGTCCAGCGGGTAGCGGCCCACCACGGAAACGCACTCCTCGGCGCTTACCTTGAACAAGGCTGTTCGTCTGCTTCTCCTCGGGGAGGAAGAGCTCACCGAGACGGTAGGAGGTTGGCATGGCGGAGAACCAGGCATTCTTAGCAAAGGTTGTGCCGGTCCAAGCTGGACAACTTTTCCTTCTTCGTTCTTCTGACAGTGCTAGCTAGCTGGCTGAAGAAAAAATGGGAGCCAATTACCCGGTCTCACCATAATTTATACGGACCGGGGGTGAGGCCCACACACAGCAGGTGGGCGTGGCCTAAAGTTTTTTCAGTGCAGCGCTGAGCACATAGGGATAAACCCACTAGCGAAAGTCTTAAAGGGTGAAGCCTATACGAAATAGAACTTAAGGTATGTGAGACAAAACAAGAAACCAGACAGAGGACACCGTGGAAGGATTGGAGAGTTAGTTCAAATAATGCCCGGATCCCAAAGGAGTGAAAACACAGACTAAATAGTGATACTAATGATGTGAGAGGAGGAACACCTGGGGTGACTGGGATTGGGATCAGCTGTGCATAATGCCACGGAAAATGGAGGTGCAGGAAGACAGAACAGAATCGTGCCAGCTCCTTTACCATGCTCCGCCTCAGACAAATAAATAAACCTCTCTTGTTCCACAGGTTAACTCCACCCTACTTGAACATTTTGCACCAAAAACATTTAAGTTTACTTCATTCTCTTTTCAGTTCCAGTCCAGAGAAACACTCATCTCAAACATTCATTATTCAAAGTCCTGTTGGACTGGGGGCATCAGTTGCCAGCCAATCGGTGAATAAAAGCACACATCCAACTATCTCCAAACTCAGTCTGAGGTGTTTCTTGAGTCCGTTCACAGCTTTGATTTCAAAGAGAGCAATAATTTACAACTTTCACCTAAAATATCCAGAAGGTTTGGAGGTTTATTCTGCCCACTCTGCAAATCATTATTTATAAAATGCTTATTTTATTTGTTTGTTTTATAGAATAAAATTAACCACTCGTTAATTATGTTTAGAAATATTCCAATGGCTGCTTTCCTCATTGTACATAAATTAACTAATAGCACCTTCTTTATTTATTTCAAAAACTTTTGTTCCTTGTAAATGACAAGCTTTATCATTTCATACTGTGGTGACCAAAGACAGAGAATTGACCTTTCACCTCAAAATCTCATTAAAGTTTTGTAATTTTTGGGTTTACATTTGATTCAAATTATTTGTCTTAAATTAACATAGTCATTTTGCCTTTACGGTTGAGTTAAATAAACTTTAACAGCATCATTTTGCACACTGTGCTGAACTTGTGTTTTCACATCCATCTTTTTGATTTCTTCCCCCCCATAAGCAGCTTCTGGATGACTCAGCATAATTTCTGAGTCATTTCTTTCTGTGCGTCCTCTCTGCAGGCTCAGGCTGACAACCGCAAATATGTGCCAACGCTGAGCGCTCAGTTCCGCCTGTCTCTGGATTCCCTCATGAAGGCTCTGTCTGCCTGCCAGCCGTTCTTTATCCGCTGCTTCAAACCCAACAGCTGCAAGCAGTCTGAGGTGAGTGATCACTTGGCAGCCCCACCTCATGCACGGTGACCGACACCAGCCTGACTCTGTGCAGACTGAGTGACTTGAACCTTTACCTTGAAGCCTTGCTGTGAAGAAACAGAATCACCTTCCCTCTGTACAGTCGCTGCTTCCTCCTTCTGCCTGAAGAGGATGGGGAACATTTCTTTTTCATTACTTCAACATCATTCTTCATAATAATGACATCTTACTTTTATGAGGCATAAAACAAACCTGCAAGACAGAAACCACTGACACACAGTGTAAAGGAATTTACAGCAGAGGCTTTTCCTACCTTCCTCTCGTCTGTTAGTGTTTTTGAATTTTTTGGCCAAAGTATCAGAAAGTCTCTTCCACATTGCTCCACATATATATATCCCAGGAGAAAAGCAAACAATTATGTTCCAATCTTTAGTGGACAACACCACACCACACACTAGCTGTCAAAATAAAATCACTTAACCGCCATCCCAATGGAAAGGAAAGGAACCAACACCAGACTGAACTGCCACCTTCAGCCTTCAGCCTGAAACATAAATATGAAATTAAATAAACAGAAATAAATATGGATAATAGTAACATATATGAACACTCTCAAGTGTTCATAAATGTTACAAAATTAAGAGAGTGTAAAATCAATCCCTCATCTTTGTAAATTAGCCTTAGACCAAAGAACCACCACAGATCCTTCTAACTGTTTAAGACATCCATCCATCCAACCGTCTTTACCCGTTTCTTCCTTTTCTGGTTGTGGGGGTCACTGATGCCCATATCCAGCAGTCACTGTGTGAGAGATGGGGGACACCCTGGACAGGTCTCCAGTCCATCACAGGGACACCTGGACAGGTCTCCAGTCCATCACAGGGACACCTGGACAGGTCTCCAGTTCATCACAGGGACACCTTGACAGGTCTCCAGTCCATCACAGGGACACATAGACAAACAACAACCATTCACTCTCTCACTCACACCTAGGCAGTGGCGGCTGGTGAATTTTTGTTCAGGAGGGGCTATAACTCCAAAACAGACAAGCGCACACACACACACACACACGCACACACACACACACACACACACACAC